CCCTGGATAACTCAACATCGTTTCATTTGTTGTCCCAACATTTGCTCGACATAGTTACATACGCGGAGAACGCGAAGATATTCCTTTGTGGAAACAAAAGTGACTTGGAAAGCGTCGCGCCACAAGTCACAGACGCAGAGATGGAACAATTCTGGTACTCATAATTTTTAATAGCTTCCTTGTGTGTGTGTGTGTGTGTATTCTCCAAAACTTTTAGAGTAAATCTCACTTTGAAGAGTAAAATCTCACTCTTAAAGATTGAAAAAACTGCGCTATTCTTTTTTAAAACTGGCTAAATGTTTACTTTTTAGAATGAGATTCCTACCACTGTAAAAGTTTTAGAGAGTATGCTTCTTTTATATAATTAAAAAAAAAATTAAATCTTCTAGCGAACAATGCCATAACTTGATTTCGGGGATATACAAAACATCGTGCAAAACTGGCGAAGGCGTAAACGAGATGTTTGAGGATATAGCGCAACATCTGGTCGAGGCGAATCGATCGCGAATGGAACTTCACGAGATGGACAAGGATCGATTTAAGATTTCATATGTCGACGAAGCAACCGACCCATCGTGTTTGTGCTAATTTGTAATTGACATTCGTTGACACGACATACACTCTCTGAGAATCTCTAAAGCTTAAGGGAAACATAAGGGAAAACCGAATGAAATCTTTTATATTGAGCACTTATCACACGTGACTTTCCTATGAGGGAAAGTTGCGTCTCGCAGAGCAAGGGAGAAACCATGAACGTGATATACGTAACATGTACACAAGTTGCGCGCCACGATCGGATCAGATCTAGGATAACGCGACGGCAAAACAACTTTCTCGATTGAAAATTTATTACAGGTTGCGAAATTATATCTTAATCGATTAGGCTTGATCTATTAATATGATTTACACGATCGGTATTATATTATACACTTGATAAATATACATACTATATCTATTTAAGTTTGTAAAGGTTACACGATAACCAGGCACTAGTGCTGAGTCCATTTGATAGTCTTCAAATCGATACCATCTTCCACCATCTCCCACAGTGGGCTACAAAAAAATAAAAATATTAAAATTTTGGTACGTTTTCACGGTTAATAGATGCATATCAGACGTTAGAGAAATAGAGAGAAATAATAATCACGATCTCATAAAACGTCCAACGATAAAGTCGTTCCCTCCGCGAAACGAGATTTCAACCGTTTCAAATTGTAAAGGTATAACGCCAAAATATAACGTGTACGTAAATCTAACATAGTTCCTTCACCACATCTCATACTCTCGAAATAAACGTTTGATAATTGATGAATGTATTACCTCATCTCCCGAAGTCGCTTTACATGCTGTATCGTATTATCCGCCGTGTAATCGACTTCCTCGAACGTTGTAAATCGCCCGATGCCGAATCTAGTTAAACAAGTCGCAAGTTACATCGATAAAATATGAAATTGCTAAGACACATTCGGAAACAACACTCGAATAGCTCACCGAATTTAACATTTGGTGAACAAATATAAAACGACACATAGAAGCATTCGAATGGTATTTTCAACGCTTCATAATGGCCGTATTCCAATACACTGTTAATATTGAAAACCTATGTTCACGTCACGTATTACAGATTTTTGATATTGGTAGTGTATACTGGAACACAACCGTAGACTAATGATCAGCAAAGTTCCTTTATCCCAAAGTATATACCTGATACTGGAATGTGCCAGATCTTCTGAAGCACCGATTGCTCTGAGCACGTAGCTGGGTTCCAAGCTCGCGCTGGTACAAGCCGAACCGCTGCTCAATGCCACGTCCTTCAAAGCCATCAATAATGATTCACCCTCTACGCACGCGAACGATAGATTCACGCAGCCAGGATACCAGGCTATGGGATCTCCGTTTCGCACGACTTGCGACAAATTTGACGTTATCTTTTCGATCAGGTGATTCGACAGCGTGTTGATGTATCTGTGATCGTACTGAAAAAAATATACAGTGTAGATTTTAATAACTCAAATGCATCAATTAATATGAAGCAGAACTTTTTTCACTTACGTCCATTTCTGTCTGCGCTAACTCACAAGCAGCACCCAACCCTACAGCCAAGGGTGCCGGCACAGTACCGCTTCTCATCCCTCTTTCTTGCCCACCACCGCTTTGCAATGGTTCTACGCGCACTCGCGGCCTTCTTCTAACGTACAGGGCTCCAATACCTAAATGTAGAATAGATAAATAAAGACTGTAGATGCAGCGAGCTTTTTTATGAATGTAGAATAATTTTTATAACTTATTGAAATGAAAATTGTATTAGACAAGAGATCATATAATTTCTAATATACAACTTCTAAAAACATGTTGATTTTTTTATAATTATTTATGATGTCTACTATCTAAACTAATATATACAAAAGAAATAAGGATATTATTTTTTGTGTAATAGTAAATTATAATTATACAAAATTACCTTTTGGACCATACAACTTATGACCACTGATAGACATCAAATCAATATTCATAGTGTTAACATCAACTGGCACTTTGCCTATGGCTTGCGCAGCATCTGTGTGAAAAAAGACCTTTTTCTTCCTGTATAATAAGTAAAAAGTAAATAGAATTAAAAAATAATTATATATATATGTATATAAAACGGGATATATATGGTACTAAAATCTTGATGCTCACCTACAAATGGTACCAATTTCTTCAATAGGCTGTTTAACGCCAATCTCGTTATTTACCATCATTATAGAAACTAGTGATGTGGATGGCTTAATGGCTGCTTCCAATTCGTTGAGGTCAATAAGACCGTTTGATTTTACAGAAATGTATGTTACATCAAATCCTTCACCTTCCAGGGCTCTACATGAATCCAATACGCACTTGTGTTCCTAGATAAAAGCAGCTAATTGTAGATTCACTTAAGAAAAAAAAATTAAGACTCATAAAAATTTCTCACTGTCTGGGTTGTCACAATATGAGTTTTCTTGGATTTGTAGAACCTTGCTACGCCTTTTACAGCAATATTATTGCATTCTGTTGCTCCGGATGTAAATATCACTTCCTTTTTGTCCGCTCCTATTAGATTTGCGACTTGCTATTAAAAGCAGACAAGTAATCTTTTAGATTGGACAGCCATATAATATGTAAGAATCTGTAAATTTAAAATATCAACCTGACGAGCATGCTCAACTGCTGCTTCTGATTCCCAACCATACATGTGAGTTCTGGAATGTGGATTACCATGGTATACTGTCAGATACGGCATCATCTTATCTAATACTCGGGGATCCTAGCAATTCATCATTTCGTACATTATTTGCATGTGTACATGAGATTTGTTTTTTATAATTGAATATAATGTACTTTTTGTATTTAAAGTAAAATAAATATATATTTGAAACTTGATGAAAATGAGAAGAAAAACTTAAGTGCAGTATACATGCAATAAAAACACAAACCTATAGGTTGCATCATATGACATCATGTCTCAAACTTACCAATGGAGTAGTGGCTTGAGCGTCCAAGTAAAGGGCTCTACCCTCCATCGGACCCTTTTTATAATCGTCCGTGATAGGAGCTACATTTAAAAAGCGATTATTATTAAAAATCATAAACCTCTCGTCAACATTACTCACATTCATATTCGGCAACCTCTGATAACCGTTGACCGCACGTATGCAAACGGCAATCCTTCGCACGTTGCAGCGCGATGATCAAACTCCTTGTCGATCGAAACATCTTAATTGTCGCCTACAACTGTTCTCATGAAGGTGATCTACGTATTTCCAGAACTCGCATGTTCTAACCTCGCAACAACAGCACAGTATCAGTTAATTGTCGTGTCCCAATAACAGCAGCGAAACAGCGAAACGAGTCGCAACTATACGAACGTTTTTGTGCACTCTGATTGGCTGCCGGGAGGGTTACATGACAATTTACATAAAAAAAGTGGGGATAATATTGGTTGCAACAAAACTCTAAGCACCACAATGAAATTTCATTTTCTACGGATTGGTAACATTGTATAAATTGTAATCAGGTTTGTCGCGTTGCATGCTCCAATATGCTCCTATTATAGCTCCTGTAGAGAGAATATTGGAACATGTAGGCGCTAATTATCTAAGACGATTTAGAATTATAATACTTTATTACATAATAAAATTACTATTAATAAAAACTTATGTGATAATAATTTTGAGATCATTTATTTTCTTCACAAAAGCGCGACAATTTTTTATATAATTTAGGATTTATTTGCTATAAATATTATAAATTGATATAGTTTGTCTTATCACACAAATGCATAATAATTCTCATTAAAACACTTTCACAGATGTCTACATATATTTCTTAGATCATTCTGACCGCTAATATAAATCCATCTAAAATTGTTTTTATTTTATCTCTTTAACTGGTATGAATTATGACATTCAGAGCATAAATCACGTTACGAAAACTCCGTTCGTTTTCATTAAAACTTTCACGTAAGTTCTTTTATATACATATATGTATACATAGATGTATGTATAAGTTTTTCATCAAATATCAGAATCAATGTTATTGCTATATAAATATATCAATATTATCAATCTACACATTGTAAGTAAAAAATAATTAAGATGTAATATTAAAACTGCAATGTAACTGTCGAAAGAAACAAAGATTTCTCTTGCTATATGGAATAGGATTGTTATCAATCAAGTTTTACAACTGCATCATTTTTCAATGGCATTGACAAATTTGTGTGAATTTTAATTTGATATGATCTATAAAGCAGCTTCTAATCTTTTTATTTCTTTCGAGATCTCTATTTTCCGTCCAACTTTGTCAAGTATCTCCTTATCAGGATTTTTCAGCGCACCAGTTTTTATTTTATCCTCTAATACTTCTATTTCTCTAATTTTCTTACGAAGATTTTTTAATCTTTTTTGTGGATCAATTGTCGTTTTCTGCGCTGTGCTTGAATTGTCTTTAGTTACATTGTTTGTTGTGGTTTGTTTTGTAGTAGACAGTGACTTATCAGTACGAGTTGGAACTTCTTTATGAAATTCAGGCTCTGAGATCATGATTTTGGACAATCCTTCGGCAACAGGTTCTACAGCTTTAGATTTATTTTTCTTTTTCTTCTTCTTGGATCCTTCTTGAGTTTTCGCTTGCGTACCAGGTATTACTTTGTTTTTCGCCGCTAGAGCTTCTAACTTGGCTTTATGTTCCGCTATAAATTCTGGACTGGCACCCACAGGATATAAAGGCTTCTTTATCAATTGCTTTCCTTTACTTTCATATCTGCAAAGGGAATAACAGAACAATAGAAATAAAACAAAGTTGGCAAATAATGTTAAGATATTAAAGAACATACGATTACTTACAAAGGAACTTCTTCCTGAGGAATATATCCATCTTTCACACGTCGTTGCTTACGCCATGTACCATCGGGTCGTTGGCTTGCTGGGATAAACGTACCTGAAATAATAATCACACATTTCAATCATAACTATTCAATCTTGACTATATCTTCGCAAAATTTTATTAAATTAAAAAATATCTATAGTTAACGCAAGTACAAGAATTTTAATAAGACAATCAGCTTGGGGACACGCCACGATGAGACACATGAAAATTTAATCGTCTAATTACAGCACGTGAGAAAAGAAATGATCTATTATTATGCAAAACTTATAGTTTTACATTTGTTTACACGATCGAGGTTAGAGCCGGTGCATACCTCATAGGTACACTTCGCGACATAGCGAGTATCTGGTCCTTACCCGTCTCGTCTTTGATGTAAGTCGACGCCATCGCAATTGCTCGTGAGAGCGCGCGTCCGTGAAAAATATAAATAAATGTAAAAAGTCCTCGACTATCCGCGTGCCATCCTGCGTTTTTCCGTATCGTATCGTAACGGAGTTGTACTGAGTCAACTGAGTTGTATTCAGTTGTACCATGTATGGATTACGGAGTCAGAAGTGGAGCAGAGAGCAGAGCCC